ATTAAGTTTTCTGCAATATATAGTTGAAAATCTACAGGGTTCTGTTTTGGTTTGACAATTCCTACTTTGGACCTTGTTATCATTTTGTATCTTTCTTCTACGTGTTATTGATTTGAGTTAGCTTCATTTAATTCAGATTCATTTTGTTATTCTTCAATTAATTGAAGTATGATATTATATTCTTGTTCATTGTAGTGTTCTGCAACTTCAATGTTAGAACCAGAAGCTTATGTAAATTCTAAGTTATAAGGAGAGACAAATCCCCCTTCAAATGACAATCTTGTAGTTTGACATTCCAGAAATGGAGTTCTATACTCAGTATTGCGAGCTTGTTCTACCGGAGTTAAAGTGCCTTGCTAACCTGCATCAAACGAGACTATATTTTTTGTCTGAGATTTAGTGAACCAAATGGGTACGATAATCATAGTTTGTGTTTATGGTATCTTGGTATTTATAAAGCCATTTTGAAAGGAAATTCTTGTTCATTGAACACTATATTTCTTGAGATGTATATCCTTCATGTGGAGCTAAGACACTCGAAACCTTTATACGTATGACTATACCCCAGGAACACACATTTCACTGAATGGAATTGAAACTTTTAGTTTTGGTAAGGTCTTATACACAGGTAACATGCACATCCAAAAATTTCCAAGACCTTGTAATTTGGTTTTTTATGAAATAACTTTTAAATCGAGCATTTATTATCGATCACAGGTGTAAGTAACATGTTTATTATGTAAACTGAAGTCTAAAAAACTTCATATCAGTATTATAGAGGGACATTTGATTGGTCTAATAGGGTAAATCTTGTCTCTATAATATGCTAAAATTTTTCTTTACTCTTCCATTTTAGGCAGAAGTGTAGGGACAAGCATATTGAGACCTAATTCCATGTTGTTGCAAGTAATTTGCAAGACTTATATATTCTCCACCCATGTCTGATTGCACACACTTGATCTTTTTATCAAGTTGATTCTTTATCATGGTTTCAAACTGTATGAAGATCTTAATGGTTTCATATTTGTGTTTCATAGGGTATAACCATGTGAATCTACTATGATCATATAAAAATAGTATATAGTATTTATATCCTAGCATGGAAGTGATGGGTGCAGGTCCCTATATGTCAGTGTCGATTAGCTCCAGGGGTTATGATGCATGTGAAGATGATATGGTAAAGGAAAGAGAATGAGACTTTTTAAGTTGATAGGAATCATAGAAGAAATGTTTTTCATTAACATAAGATTTATTACAAGACTCAAGAATTTTTACAAGTGTTTTGAAAACTGGATGACCTAACCTCCTATGCTAAGTTTCTAGACTCCTAGAGTTTTCATACGTATTTTTGTTATTGGAAAGAAAAACTTGATAGTTTCTTGATATTGAATTTACTTAGGACTAATAACTTGTCTTAATCTGATGGAGGCCTTGTTGATGCTTCCTCCGTAGTAGAGTTTTGCCAGAAACTTTGTCCTTCACAGCACAACCAAAAGAATAAAAAACAACATCAACGTTATTTGAAGTTATTAGTTTTGATATGCTCACCAAGAACTTTTCAATATCAGGCACATGCAAGGTATCATTTAATAACAAAATTTTCCATTTGTAGCAGGTAGTGTAACTAGACCAATATAATAAATATTTAACTTCTATCGTTTCCCACTATCAAACATTCTTTACCAGTATATTCTTGTTTTGGCTGNTCATTTGTAACATAATTGCTAGTTCCCTGTCAAAATACCAGGCTGTGTCTTCTATATTGTCTGTTGTTGTTACAAAATTTGAATTTTGATTTATATGGCCTGTCTAAGGTAGAACACCCATATAGCTTTTGTCAAATAGATAGTAGCACACAAAAATAGTGTGACCTATCTTTCCGCACACCTAGCACTTAGGTTTGTTGCCTCCTCCAAATAGATTTCCTCTTCCTCTATATCCTCTACGTCTATTGCTATCGTTTGTTATTCTTCCTCTTGGAAAATACTGATTGTTGTTTCTGTTGTTGAAGTTTGTATTTCTGACATAATTGACAGCAAGTTGTCCAAGATTCAAAGTAGTCATACTAGTGTTTAGCTGCTTTAATGTTCTTTATAGCTTAATAGTTTCGACTGGAATTATATCCAACTAATTGTTTCCTTTATAGTGATTTGGCACATTAGAGAGTTATAATCTTAAGAATCAAGTCCAACTAATATTTAAGTGACTAGATCATCAACTGATACGAGATGACTAGTAAGAGCAAGATTATCTGCCAAACTTTTTATGGCTTTGAGGTAATCTTCCATCTTCAAGCTTCTCTTTTGTATCTTAGCAAATTCTCTTTCATAAAATACTATGTTTGACCTTGTTTTGATTCCAAATAGGTCATTGATGACATTCCATAACTTTCAATATGTATATTGCCCCATTAATTCATAAGATCCATCTAAGAAGCATTTGATCCTAGACATACTATTCCTTGTATTCTGGGTTTGTTGTTAGCTAAACTTCGTCTATTCTTTAAACAACAACTTGTGTGAACTCTGGTGGTATTATCTTTGCTCTAGTGAGGTATCGTTCAAGTTTATTTCCTCAAATAACTGGTAACACCATGTTTTTCCAAAGTAAGAAATTATTATATTTCAACTTAACCATACTATATCCCATTGGTTTTCCTCTCATATTGATTGTGTTCATTGTTGTGATATTTCCTCCATTATTTTGATTCACTAAAATTAGAAACTTTTACAAAATATGCCTTTGTGATTTTGAATATTTCTCAACTTAAATATTGCTGAAATGAGATGATTTATTTATAGAAGAAATGAATCAATCCTGACCTTTCAAGTATATAACAAATATTTACAGACAAACAAAAAAATTGTTGTAACAGTTTGTAAAATTGTGAGCTGGTAATATGGTTGACAAATATGTTTTGTGCTTGTTGATATTGTTGCTGATAGCTTTAATATTTCTTTGAATATTCCTTGATGCATGAAAATTCTTTAATAATAACTTTACTTAAAATGATAAAAATTGAATTATTATAAATCTCATATGAAATTAATTGAAGCTCTATTATGTTCCATTGACATAAAGTTTCATATCCATTCAATTTTTTATTTATTGAGTCATGTTAATATAATTTGTACTTTTTAAATTAAGTATGAATTTAAAAATAAATTTGATGTTGTTTCTAAATTTATTCAAAAAAATTGTATTTGCCATTTTAAATTTTAATCAATATTAACTACAAGACAAAAGTATTATGATCCTCATCATGTATAAAATCGTAGAAAGAAGAGAGAGAAAGAGATGATACAACATGGAAATAAAAGGAAAAATAGAGAATAGAGGAGAGACAATTTGATGTGATAAAAGAAAAACGACACCCTCATATCTTTGAGGGATGGAGCCAATTGCGGAAGAGGATAGGATGAACCCCAAATGAGCTATGCCCAAGGCTAGAATTAGTGGCTAAACTTGAACAACGAGTACCCAAAGCAAGGAAGATATTGAGTGTCACCACCAAAGAGAGTTTGGGCCTGAAAATCCCAGATCAAAGAGAATACCCATCCCTCGTCTGGATTTGGGTACCTATCAGGTACATGTACGATAGTTAGCCCGCATAAAGGAACAGGTATCAGCACCACCAGAAGAGTCCATGCCTGGAGGATTTTAAGTCGCAGGTAAGAAACAGGTCGGGTGTGAGGAAGGCCACGTAGGTGCGAGGTACCTTGTCACGTTTGTGCAAGAGGCTAGCACACGTAAACATCCTATCGCGTGCACGCAGAAGCGGGCCTCATGCTCAGATGTTGCACGCTTGTTTGAGGGGCCCAACGTGCACACACAGGGCAAATGTGCGCACATAAGGCAGGCGCCCATATAACACACACATGAAGATCTTATGCACGCGGTTGGGCCGCACACCCTTATGCAAGTCCGCACGCTGTCAGACACGCATGTGGGCATACCAGTCGCACATGCCGCATGTGTGGCTTAATTTTGCAGCAACTTTTTCAAAAATCTTATCCCTTTTTGTGTATTTTCCATGTGTTTTTATTCAAAATTCACATGAGATAAAATTTACATTATTTTATCAATTTAGTTTATTATTATTTTATTGTAAATTTATTTCTTTAATTATTAATTTAAATTAGAGATTGAAAAAACTTTTATCTTTTAATTATTTTATTAAATTTTACACCTTTGTAATTATTTATAATTATTTCAGTAATATCTTTTATAAAATCTTTACCCGTAGGTTGTAAACACATAATTGAAAATATCAATAAAGAAACTTTTGCTTATATAACTAATTTATTTTTAAGTCTCAAATGTCTCAAATTAAGAGTTCAAACTGTTTCGTTGAGGAAGGAATCAAGATTGATTTATCGAATAAGTCCGTAACGTCTTTTTCTCTTAGTCGGCTATAATCCCAATAAAGAGGATTTATCTTAAATAATTAAGTTTTAAGTTGCTAAATATAATGAATTTGAGATCGAAGTGTTTTCGCTCCGTGGAGTAACGCTCCACTCCACATCATAATTTTTTTTTTTGAGGAGATAGAAAAAATATTTCAATAAACAAGTAAACTTAGAAATTCTCATTAGCAGTACTTTCTTCTTTTTATGTGATTTTATATATTCTTTTTAATGGTAAATTTATGTAAAATTATAAATAAGATAGTGATGTCTTTGTATGATTACAAAAAGAAATTATTTTGCGTATGTCAACATAAAATTGAGTAATGCTTTAGTAATTTGCTCTATTTTAATGTACTTACGTTGGTAATGTTTACAAGTCAAAATTTTTATGGTTATCTTCAAAAGATTCAAAGTACATTGCCACACGGATTAACCATCCTCTAGTCTCTGTAACTGCTGCACTGTATAATAGTTCTTCAAGAATACATCTTTAGGTACACCGAGTCAATCTAAAGGAGTACACTCTCAAAATCACTTGAAAACTTAATTTCACTATGCACAAGATTGAGACAGATATACCCTTCTCCCTAAATAACAGGGAAATCTAAATTCAGGCAGAAAATAATTAAGATACATATTTTACATCAGATGGTAGGTAGAAGGGCAAATTAGTAAAATATGTATCAACTTTGCATCAACACACATTGGAACCGCAGATTTCTAAGAGTATGTTCATGAAATTCTTTAATCTAACCAGAGGAAGACTGCATACTCTGCACTGCATGAAAAGTTCCCTAAAAATCTAAAAAAGAAAGATCCCACAGGAAGATGGTCAATATATCACAAATTTGTATATAAAATTCACCCTTTTGAAATTTGAATGTTGTATCCAACCAGAAGTAAAACCCTTGAATCATCTATTACAGGAGAGAAGATTAGTATGATGCATCATCGTGTTTTTAAGTATAAAAGTATACATCTATTTCTTACATTTCTATGTAAACATGCTGCCTAACTTTCCTGCCAAGCATCATCATGCTGCTAGAAGCTTTTGAATGTCCCTCTGTAAGACAGAAAAGATTGAATTGAGAAATCCAAAACATAGTAAAAGACCTTCATCTTATAAAATTGCTTTGATTTAAAAGGAAATATATGCATCTGGATTGTGGATCAAAGAATATAAGTATTTTTAGTTAGTTTAGTATCGACAGTGTATGATCAAACCTAATCCTTTGAACAAAAAAATGGAAAAGTAATAAAGCTTGCAAAGTTATTTTCTTGCAATTTAATTAATAAAATCTGGTAAATGGAGTCTGGATTATCACTAGCCACAGTTAGTGCCATTTGACTCCATATATAGAATTAGGTAGCTGAACTGTTACTAGCCTAACTCTCCCAGCACATATGCACAGCTATATGTTCGAAGTATGCAGACGGGCAACTCAGAGTGTAATGAAATTCAATGCCTTTGAGAATAATAGAATTTGATGACCAATAGAAAATAACTTTGACATATTACTTTATATTTCATTCCAATATGTTGTTCATGTCAGCAAAGGAAGGCACAGAAGAGTCAAGGGTGAGTCTTGGAGGGCAAATGGTGAACAATAATTTGGGAAGGAGAGAAAAAAGTTTGAATTTATTATCTCTGCTTTGATACCATGTTAAATGACTAATACACAATTCTTTTTATGACAATCAATTATCTGAAAGTTTAAGACAACATAAGAGAGCTCAAATTTATTGCTTTATATTCATCACGCTTGTCAAGCTGTTGGAGCGACCTTGACCTATCTCCTACTAGTTGGTGCTTAAGCTATCTCATAAGCAGTCTGTTTAGAATTGGATGGTAAATTTCATTATAAATGAACTAAAGAATTATGAGACTGTCATGAACCACTAGGAATTCTAACAAAGGCAACTTATTCAAGAAAATGAAGAAGTGTTTGAGATCAGGTTATCTACAACAGCAGAACTATCAGGCAGATCTACACCTCTCATCATTCCTGAACATGCAAATGTTTACATCTCCACTATTTCTGAGCAGGAAAATGTTCATAATTGTTCATACTTAATTAAATATATGATAGAAGTGTAACCCAGAAGGCCTTCAAAGCATTAGGAGTACTTTCTCATACCTTATTAGTTAAGCAACTGAAAATTTCCTTTCTAGTGAACAACTTCAAAGTAAAAGGGATGCTGAAATAGATAAAGACCTGTACCTCAATTTGGAAAGGTGATGTTGTTGGTGGATATCTCTCCACAACTTTGCCATTCTTGTTCACTAGGAACTTCTCAAAATTCCATTTGATCAGATCACCAAAAAATCCCCCAGCACTTGACTTCAGAAACTGGTAAATTGGAGCTGTATTGGGTCCATTAACATCAACCTGTTTGGCACAAAATTTTAGTACTTGATTACTCTCAGTTGTGTTTGTTAGAAACAGAAGTAAGCAGGTACGGCACCTTATCGAAAATTGGAAATTCTGCTTTAAATCTTGTACAGGCAAACTGTTTGATCTCAGGATTTGATCCAGGCTCTTGCCCTCCAAATTGATTGCAAGGGAAAGCTAGAATCTCGAATCCTGCATCAGAAGCGACATAATCAATTACTGATGTCAATTTAAATAGACAAATAAACTTCTTTCTAGGCTTCAAATTTCTGAAATATTATCTATTATACAGACATCTAAACATGTGAGGTTACTAGATATGCCTTTCAAGAATCAAAGTTGGAATACAGGCACATGAAGTAGAACACAAAAAAATACCAAAATGTATACTTTAACAAATGAAATCAGATGCTTATATTTGAAAATGACATGAAAAAGCTAATGACTAGATCATTAAAACTGGAAACTGTAACCAGATGGCATAGCTCATTCAGACTAGTGTATAAACAACTAACAACCTTATTCAGAGAGGTTGGAAATGTTAGGAACTTATTTGATCCGGACAACCATTGCTTGTTTAGTTCAGTTTATATTCATTTATAATTCGATGACTAGGATTATTCATATAAGTTCTACAATTAAGTGGTAAAAAAATATAAAATGAATTGAACCCAGATGAACTACAAAATGATATGAAATGAAAGACAAAGCTCAAAATCAGCTCACCTTGAGTTTTGTACTTTTCATATAGGTGAGTTAGCTCTGAGTAATTTGTTGTTGTCAAGCCACTGAGATAAGAACCAAAACCACTCGATTAGATCTCCATTAGAAATAAAAATAGGAATGACACTCTCATCTTGACCCGGTGTGATCCGGCAGGAATTTTTATAGGGACAGGGTCAACGCTTTGTTTAACCCCAAATAAATGAGGATAAAGACAATTTCCTGTCTTATTTTACTGTTCAAGTGCTCAAGTCGAGGACAGGAAAAGGGGTCCCCATCTTGCCTATCCTTGACTACGCGATTTATATAAATAAATATTTTTTTTGACATTCTTTGTATATAGCATTTATACTGTATTGAACAATCTTGAACATTTATTTTTTATTTGCATTAAATATGTCGGATTAATAATTTTTTTTAAATGATTTTGTTGCATTATATCTAAAAAATAGGTCTACTTATAATTGAGATCGATTTATATGAACAAATAATAAGAATAAGACTCCCTAAAGGAAAATGGGGATTCCCTGTTTTCCTGCAGGGTCGGACATGAGAAAAAGGAACAAGTCCACGACAGGAATCGAAGATGGGGATGGGGGGTTGTGAGGCTAATGGGGACAGGAACGGGTAAGGTACCCCTTGCTCTGAACATGCTCTGCTGCCATTTCTAAATATAAAATAAGCCACAACAGAGCTAGTTTAGCATTTCCACAGAATAAGAATATAGAGATTAATAGAAATTAGATAAAGATAGAAAAAAATATTCTAACCATATCTAATTCAAGCTAAGGATACATTTGGAACAAAAAATTAATCATTAAAATTTATTTGACAGTACAGACTTACAGTTAGAAAATGAGGGGAAATTCATTTGGCTACATTTGAAGTAAATATGAATTTTCAAACAAATTTTGCAAAAATAGTTAATTTATCCCGAACAGAGCTTAAATGACCTCTGATTCTTCACTAGTAAAACAAAAATAGAAACTCATCACTGTAAATTTAATGTTGTGGATATGTTTAGAACAAACAAACTATTTAGAAAGTTCATTTGTAAATATATACTCAATCAACAATTAAAACTTGAAAATTCAACTCCAAAAGAATGAAATTTGCAATTGAAACAAAAGAATTGAGAACCTATCAACTTTTTCAATTGAATTTCATCCATTCATGATTGAGGTATTCATTTTTTTAAGGAATTCCACAAGAATCTTTTATTTGCTGTGTTTGGATCAACTCCCAATCAATTCTTATATCTAAATTTTATACCCGTCTTAATATGCATTATAAAAGCACAATTTACCTGTCTTCAACTTTCTAAAACCACCATAGTCTATTTGATAATAGGAATTCCATCCCAAATTTTAAACTCACAGGTTAAATTTCTGCCACCAAGGAAACCAAGAGAAGAACAAATGATGTTCCATCTATGTCTACCAAAATTTAGACTAAGAATTGCCTACAACTTCTAAAGACAAGTTATTCAACAGCAAAGAGTGAAATTGGTTTTACTATGAATAAATTATAATCCAATCCTAGTTATCAAGTAACTGAACTCCAAGATCAAAGAATAAAATAGAAATAAAAAATTCTTAAAAGTAAAAAAGAAAAAGATCATCCGAAGGAAAAAGGATTACCATTTTGAAGCAACATTGACAATCAAGAGAATTTTGCCCTTGAACTTGCTTAGAGAAACATCCTTCCCATCAATATCCTGCAAAAGAAAAACCCACTTATATAATTGAAAAAAATTAAATACTTCCATACGCACGCGCGCTTCTCGTTGAATTTTCAATATCTAACAGTCATACACCTTCAAAGAGCTTAGGCAACACAATACTCACAACTCAGGCTTCTGAACTGCTAAGCAGCAAAGTTAACGTTCTTTCCCCTTTTATTCATTACATTTAAGAACAATAACTACCGAAACATGCACAAAACCTATTGAAGCACACAAGCAATACCGTATATTGATAGAGAGATGATAAAAATTAATCGCCAGAAAAACTTTACCTTAACAGTGAAGTCATGAATAGTCTTCTCTGCAGCCGCTCTTGCATTAACACCAAACGATCGGGATTTCAAGAGAAACCCAGAAACATAAGATGATTTCAGAGAGAACCCATGTAGGGAAAAGGCTAATTTAGATGAAAAAAGCGTGGAATTGGGCCATGAAGCAGCATGAAGGTCAGATTTTGCTTGAGTGAAACAACTGTAGGCTGACGCGAGAGTTGCAGAAGAAAGCAGGGAAGCAGCCATTTTTGGTTTATCTGGTTTAGGTGCGAATTAAAATTTGAAGAGCTATGGCGTGTAAGGTGTAAGGAAGAAAATGTTCCACGTGGTCCCTTTCTTTTCTTTTGCTCCCTTAAACCATTGTTTGAGTGCTCCAATCCAAGCCCGCCCCGACAAAAGCTTTTCCGGGGAGAGATTTTCTATTAGGTAATTTAATAATTTTTATTATTTAATTAAATTAATAATAATAATTTTATTGTTAATTAAAAATATTATAATGATTTGTATTATTTTAAATCACAGAATTTTTGTTTAGCAAATATGATAATATAAAAAAATTATTTATGTATTTCATATTTTTTTGTAACTTAAAAGAATATTTTTACTGTCCTAATTTTCTTTTTCGCTGTTTTTAAAATAAAAAGAAACAGGTTCTTCCAAGCACAAGCGCTCTCTGCTCGCTCTTCCCGCTCTAAATCCAGCTTCCTGAAGCTTCAACTGTTTTCATTATCCTCCGGCTTTCTCTCTGTAAGTTTTGGTTGGTTTCTCTCCCTCTCTTTCTCTCTCTGTATCTATATATATACACATATATACGGACACAGAGAATCTGAAAGAGAGAGTTGAAAACATGGCGGACGTGATGTTGATCAATGAGATATAGGTGGCAGCGCCATGGCTGGGAATCGATGTATCCCACGTGCATTACGATTTCGGCATCATTAGGTAAATTATCATTCTTCAGTTTGGTTACCTGGAAAAAGTTGGAGATGGATCCGATGCCCCTAAGCTCTCTTTGCTAGTTGCTTATAGTTATGATTCTTTAGTTGATTTTTTTTTTCCGTTTGGATTTTGTATGTCGGTTCTGTTATAGATTAGGGAATGGTAAATTAGTAGGTAACAACAGGAAATAACAAAAGGGGGAACTGATGATTCTTAGTCTGTGTGGTTGCCAATAGGAAAAAACAAAGCGAGAAAAATGGGGTATTTTTAAGTATCTTTGCCTAAAATAATTGCTCAATGAAGCTGAAGATAAGATTAGGGAAACAATACAGCGTCCCCATTGCTGTCTCTTTGATGTTTAGTTTTTTTGTCATTATTTTCGATTGAAAATGAAAGCTTAAATGTTTTAATGTGGCTCTGAAGTTTATGTATGTGTTTTTCTTTTTCTTTTTTTGTGGTGATTTTTATTTATACTTCTGTTGGCCATGCCTTTGTTGCAGCACTTCTGACAGAAACAATACCTAGTTCTCTGTTGTTTCCATGGAAGTCGAAACAGGAATTATTAGCTTTTCGAATAATGTGACACCCAATTTCTGCAATCCAAGGGAAACTAAGCTTTTCATCATCCACAATGTCTAGATGTTTATTTCCAAATTTCTAAGTCGGCAAATTGACTTAATTTCTCCTATTTCGTTTGTCATGGAATTAATAAGTACAAATAACTAACTTTTCTCCAATTAGAAACACTTGATGATATACCTCATTCGTGAGCTGAGTAATCCTTGAGATGCAAATATGAGCTGTTTTTCTTCTTAATCTCATATGAGTATTTATGTAAGTTGTTGTGCTTAATTTTCAGAAAATTATGATAAATATCTTTAATGTTAGAAGAGGAAAGGTTATGAGAGATCTTAGGGGAAGTGCTGACAAAGTTGCGATCCTAAGAACTGAGAGTCTTGTAGGTGTGTCTTTACCTGTTTTCAGGTAGTTTACCTCTTCAATTACACAAATCGCTTTATGCTTTTTCCCCATGGTCTCCTGATCGTTGGTTCATGATTTATTTTTCCATTAGATGGTGTGGATAATCGTGGTAAATATCTTTAATATTAGAAGAGGAAAATTATGAGAGATTTTAGGGGAAGTGCTGACAGAGTTGCGATTCTAAGAACTGGGACTCTTGCAGGTGTGTCTTTATCTGTTTTCAAGTATTTTACCTATGCAATTACGCGAGTTGCTTTCTGCTTTTTCCTCATTCTCTCTTGATCATTTGTTCATGATTTATTTTTCCATTAGATGAGGTGGTAAAAAAGAGAACAAGTGATGCGGAACTCAAGATTAACATGCAATCCGAATCCACATATACACAATTAGTATTAAAACTTAAATCTAAATAAATCATTTATACTTAACCCACAATTAACTTGCAAATGACATTAAGGTAATTGAGATGAAAGAAAAAAAATTTTGATTAAAATCCCTCCAGAAAACCTTAATAAGATGAAACCAATTCTTAATACAATAAGAAGATTGAATAACCTTACAAATTGCAAAAGATAGCATTTGATGGAAATAATTTTTTAATAGCATAATGAAGAAAAATACACATAAGAGAGTCTTATATAGGGAATGCGACACTAATCTCAATCCTTAAAAGAAATAGGAAATAATCCTAATCCTTAAATCTAATCTAATCCTAAGGATAAGATCTAATGTAATGTTAAAATTCAATCATAATAGGAAAATGAATAATTAATCCATGTAGATTAATGAATCTTGCATGAAAACCAACTTCCACCTAGCCTAATGACTCCTATATAATCCTATGTGGCTTAAGATCCCACATTAGACATAGGAAAAAAAATAATTTAATTAATTAATTGGGCTTTATTTTGCATGAGTTTGAGCTTGGAAATTTGGCCCAACAACTTAATGGGCTGCTTTTCCATGTATTTAGTAAATTTGGTCCACTTCTTTCGTGGTTCTCCAAATTTGGACCATGGCTTCCTTCTTCACTGATCCATCCTTGAATATAAACTTGAAAGACTTGCTTGAGTTTTTTGACTCATGATCTAGTGAGTGACTCAGTTGGCATAATGATGTTCGTCCCATGTGGCCTATGTGCATTTTGAGTTGTGTTCTCACTATGACTTGTGTTCACCCTAGTGTTCGCACTATGTTCATCTCCTTGCACACGTGCTTCATTATGCTTCACGTCTTGATTTCCATCAACAAGTATTCTACAAAAAACAAAAAAAACATGACCTCAATCTATGAGCCAGAGACCTTTGGCCTTATTAACAAGAAATCTTTAGAAGTTGAAAATGTAATGGACCTTAGTTGGTCACCTACTTATCCCTTTTTGCACTTTATGTACTGGAACTTGATGGTGGTAACTGATAGGTTCCAATCAGAGAGAGTCACAACTCCAATAGAGAGAGACAGAGACAGAGAAAGAGAGAAAAAGAGAGAGAGAGAGAGAGAGAGAGAGAGAGAGATAGAGAGAGAGAGAGAAAGAAAGAGAGAGAGAGTTATTTCAAATTGAAGTAAGAAACAACACTTGTGGGATTTTTCTTGGGGATAAAAAGACTTGTCTTTTGTTCATCTGCAATTGCCCTTAAATACATGAAAAGCTAACTGAAATCCTATATCTATGTTACACGTTGAAGCAAAATAAAATAAAAAATCGCAAAAATTAAGCAACGACTAAAATACTAACTAAGCAGATTTTTCTCTAGATTTTCTGGTTAATTGTTTCTGCTATGCTGACTCCTTCCTTTTGCTTGTTTATGCTGATATGGTGAAACACGTGGATAATTTAATCCATTTATTTCGAGTTTTGGTGAGACTGTCTCAGCAATCTTTGGCGCTTATAATTGCCCCTTCCTTGGGTAAGAACTTTGTCCTCAAGGTTCAACGAAGCAAACTGTTCCATCAGGTTCTGTGTGATATGCTAAGTGGCCTCTTCTGCTAGCAATTTTTTCCATTTTACTAAGCTTTCTTCAACCAGTTTAGATCCTCTTTTTACACAGCGTGTGTCTAGTATGGTTTCCAGTTGAAGGATGATATTTTTGTCTTTTGTAGTCGTTGGCAGATCCTGAACTGGTAGGGGGAAATCTCTAACCTTTGGTTTAAGCAATGAGATGTGAAAAACGGGGTGGATGCGGGGCCCTTCCGGAAGTTTAAGTTTGTATGCTACCGAGCTGATGCGTTGAGTAATCTGATAGGGTCCGTAATACTGGCATGCCAACTTCTGTAGGGCCCTCTTAAAAATCGTTTGCTGGCGGTATGGTTGGAGACGCAAAAAGACCCAATCTCTTTCTTAAAACTCAAGATGGCGTCTCTTGGTGTTTGTGATTTGTTGCATACGGTTATCTATTGCATGTAGGTTAGCTTTGAGCTGCTGGAGGAGTTCATTCCGTTTTGTCAAATGCTGGTCAATGTGATCCACTACTGTCATGCCCTTTTGGTAGAACGAAATGCTGAGAGGAGGTCATCCATAAAGGGTTTAGAACGGTGTCATCCCAATGGATGAATGATGTGTGGTATTATACAAAAATTCTGCCCATGGAAGGAGTGAACACCACTTGCGTGGCTGCTGGTGAGCTAAGCATCTCAGGTACTACTCAAGACATCGATTTACAACTTTCATTTGCCCATCCGTTTGAGGGTAGTACGCTGAACTCATTTTCAATTGTGTGCTTGACATCTTGAAGAATTTGTTCCAAAAATTATTGATAAAGATGGGATCTCGGTCGCTTACAATTGTTCTTAGCATCCCATGGAGCTTGACTATGCCTTCTACGAACCTGTCGGCAACGGTTTTGGCAGTGTAAGGATGTGTCAAAGCTAGGAAGTGTGTTGATTTACTCAATCTGTCTACAACTACTAGAACTGTATCTTTCCCTTGGGAGCTTGGTAACCTTTCAATGAAATCCATAGAGATGTCATCCCAAACTTGACATGGTATAGGCAGCGGTTGAAGCAACTCGGTTGGGGCCGAGGTCTCAGTTTTGGCTCTTTGGCAGACCTCACACGCTGCCATGTATCGTTGTACTACCTGTCTCATAGCTAGCTAGTAGAATTGCTGAGCCAAGCATTTGTATGTTCTTAAGACTTTGGAATGCCCTCCCAATTGAGAATCATGAAATGCTTGTAGTAATTGTTGGATGACTTTAGATTTTGGGGGAATGATGACATGGTTTTCGTAGTGTAAGAGCCTATTCCTCCACTGATATGGTCTACCGGGTTCTCTTCTACCAACTTACCTATTCTCTTTATGTAGGGGTGGTTTTCGGATGTGTCTTTGATATCATTCCAAATATGATTTTTCACATGCAAACAGAGCATCTAAGGAGGGCCCTTTGTGTTGCCTGGACAGGGCATCCGCTGCTTTGTTGTTATTTCCTGGTTTATAGGTGATTTCATAATCGTATCTAAGGATATCCGTTTTTGTTGCTCTGGTGTGGTGACACACGGATTCAGTAGGTGTTTTAAACTCTGGTGATATGTTTGAATGATGAATTTGTGACCCAATAGATATGGTCTCCAAGTTTGAATGGCGACCACTATGGCTAACATCTCCTTAGCATAAGTTGACCAAGCTTGTTTGGTGACTCCTAAGGCTCGGTTCATATAGGCGATGGGCTTCCGTTACTGGGCGAGGATGACCCCAATCCCTTCCTCTGAGGCATCTGTTTCTATGGTGAAAGGCTCATTAAAGTTTGGGAGAGCCAAAGTTAGGGTAGAGGTCATGGCCTGCTTAAGGCATGTGAATGCGTTTTCTGCTTCATCTGTCCATTTGAACTATTCTTTTTTTAGTAGCTGAGTAAAGGGGTCTAGCCAATGTTCCATAATTGAGTACAAACTTCCAGTAGTATCCAGTGAACTCGAGGAATCCTCGTAATTCAGTAATAGGTGTTGGTTTGAGCCAGTCTACCATAGCTTGAATTTTTCTTTGATCTACCTTGATCCCTTGTGGCGTGATAATATGCCCTAAATATTCCAATTCTTGCTGCCCAAAAACACACTTTTTTCGCTTGACATAAAACTTATGCTATGATAATATCTCGAAGGTTCGGCGCAGATGCTCTAAATGTGCAACTCGATTAGGGCTATACACCAGAATATCATCAAAGAAAACCAAGATGAATTTCCTTAAGTGTGGCCAGAAGATGATATTCATAATGGCTTGGAAGGTGTATGGAGCGTTTCAAAGGCTGAAAGACATTATGAGGTATTCGTAATGCCCGTTGTGAGTTCTAAATGTTGTCTTTGGAGTATCTATGGAATGGACCCTTATTTGGTGATAACCGGATGTTAAATTAAGTTTGATGAAGAATGTAGCACCGTACAACTCGTCCGTTATGTCGTCGACCATTGGAATTGAAAAACGATCCTTGACGGTGACTGTATTTGAGGCCCAGTAGTCGGTGCAAAATCTCCAAGTCTCATATTTTTTCTTGACAAGCAAAACCAGTGATGAAAACGGGCTGATGTTAGGCTTGATCACTCCCATAGCCAGCATACTTTGCACTTGCCGCTCGAAGTTGAGAAGTTGTTGGATGTCTCTAAGGAGATCCTTTCTTTTGAGTATGGAGAAGAGTTGATACTTTGATCAAGCGGCTCCACAATATTGCTCTTCGGGTTTGTTCCCTGGATTACAATTAGTAAGCCTGATTTTGTACTCACCACCATACGTAAGGGGGAATATTTGGAGTAGTTACTAACTAAAGGAAGCATTTTTTTCCAGTCTTCCCAAGCTAAGACTCCAAAAACAATTATTAATAAAAATATTTTAGAATATTTCGTAACTTGTCTTTTTTATATATTGTATTGCTCCACAAACACTCTATAAATGGTAGCTGGAAGAATTTTTAAGAGGTGAAAATTAAATTAAAGAGGTTTTGATGTATCAATTAGAGCCTTTGTCTTCCTGTCTGTAGGGAACTTAATTTTATCCCCAACGTCCCTTTGAAAATAACAAGTTTTGTAGGGAACATATTTTTTAAAAAACTTTTATAGGAAGAAATAAGAAATTATGCTAAGAATTAAATACCCCTCTAAATATGGTAATAATTAGTATTATCAGTGTACTTTAAACACGTACTAATTAAAATTTCTCCATTTCCAAGCTTTAAAATCAAATCCTGGGTGGGGATACTGAAAAATCAGAAATAGAAAATATGAAGGAATAAAGAAAGGGAAGATAATCTTGGTGCTAGTTGTCAGTATCTGATTTCTGAAGGCTACCCTAATTCTTCTCCCCCCACATGCTGCACTTATTAATTTCTTAAAATTAGATCCGTGCAGAAAGTTGAAAGATTTGATTTTAATATTTGGTTACATCCTGATTCCGATGCAATGTATGCAGCTCGTGTGGTAAGTAAACTTAACCACAAATGAGTGCGTAACTTAAAAAGGAAAGTTAGGTATGTTGTCCATAAGAGATGTACAAATATATCATTTTCTTTTATACATACACACATAAACATGTGTTCTCATTTTCTATCTGACGTAGTAATAAGTAGCAATCTTAGAGATATCTAGCTGAAACTAATTTGATTTTCTTTCTTTTTTATTACCCCTAAATTAGGTTATTAAGATTCTCTCTATGGTAATTTTTTTAATTGCAGTCAATTCACAAATAAATAGAGTCTTAATATCAGGATAGTAGTTAGTGAATCAATCTATAATTTTAATATAAGAGTGTTACTGCAGTAAAAGATTAAGATTTTATCTTAAAATCTCTTATTAAAAGTTAGCCTAAAACTCAAAGAACATTTTTACTCATAGAAACAATTATTTTAATTACGATAAAAACTCTGATTTATTGTTTTTAGCTCAGGAAAAATCTATTTGTAACACTAAAAAAAAATAGATAGAAAATAGTTCTTACAATTAAAATAAAACTCTATTTAAACTTTGTTATTCCCAATTTTCTCCACCTTAGTAATTCACTTAAAATTTTTTACTACTTACAATACACATATTGTAAAAATTACCTTGAAAGTTTGGTGTCTCTTTTTTTTTTTTTTTTTTACAAAAAAATAAAAATAAATAAATAAAGTAGGAGTAAAATATTCCAACATCTCCACAGTCAAAGATTTGTTTTGTAGGGAGCAATCAGTGAGGGGGTGCTAAGTGAAAAAAATATCTTCCTCATTATTCCAACCAATTATTGGACTATAAATATCAACCACAATAATAATAATAATAAAATTCCACAAGTTTTAATTGTTGATTGTCACATTCTGGTCCCCAGATTTTTATAAGTTTGATTGTTTTCTAATTTAAAATTTTATGATTTTTCTTTAACAATTTAATACTTTGTGGTTCAAATTTATTATTCCCCAATCGTAAAAAAAAAAAAAAATTGAAACGATATGATATTTTCATTAATGAAATTTGATTACTTAAATTCAAATATTTTTCTGTATATATATATGTATACACTGATCCTCATCTATCTTATTAAATTACACAATTTTAGTAATTAATTAATAATTAATGGTGAATAAAAGAAGCATGTATGCCCTGTTTAATATTATATTCAAACAACCTTTAACTTGGTTTAATATATAATGGTATTTTAACCCAATTACTGCAGTAAAAAAAAATGTTTTCATTTTAAGATAGCAGCCAAACATTGTAAAAGACAATCAAACTGCATTAAATTCCCAATTTCATTTTATCTTCTCTCATTATTATTTAATTAATTGTATTAACATATTATAATTATTCTAATTAAACAAACATATCATCCATAATCAAATATTATGAATTAGTTGAAAGTGATCATCATTAACTAACAATATATTTATGAGATTCAATTTTTTTTTTTTTTTTTAAAAAAGGGCGAAACAGAAGGGTGGTTAAGTAGAGAGAGAGAGAGAGAGAGAGACTGAGTCCCCCTTAAAAAGGTGAGTCCACTAACCCAACAGCAACAGTAGCCTGAAATTCACCTGATTATCGTTACCCAGGGAAGGGAATAATAATCCATCTCAAAATAAACAATCGAAAGTCTTAAATCTTTTCTCTCTCTCTCATTATTTCTTCTTCATCTGTCCTTTTTTCTTAAATTGCCTTCTCTTTGGTTTGCTTTTCCCACTCAGATTCCCAGAAAATTCTTCTGCCTCTTTTCCCTGCTTTCGGAACATTAGCTCTTTCTCCACTTTGGCTCTGTCATTGGCCTCTCTACGGACGCCCTACTTGGGCAAGTAAGATCTTTCTCCTTCATCCTAACTTTTACCGCTTCTCTCTTGATTTCCTTAGTATCTTTACTTCCAGCTTCTGGGTCTGTTTTATTTTATGATTTGTGTGAATCTTGGTTTTCTTTCTCATATTTGAATCCAACTTTTGTCCTTTCCTTTTTTGGACCTCAAGTAATAGTAATTTTTTCTTGCGCATTATTTCATTTCATTGCGTGTACAACTGTTGATCCGTGTGCTTGCTATTCTTTTAATGAAGAATCTTTCTTTTGATCTGTTGAGCAGTGAGTTTAAAGACTTAGATCGGCAGTGAGTTTAAAGTTCATGTTCTTTTATTTTAATCTCAGAAATTGAAAGATAACTCTGCCGAGATGGAAAATAAAACACAAGAATGTAAAGAATCTAAGCAACCAGCTGAGTTTTGATTGCTTTTGATCTCAAAAAGCTTGTCTACTGATACTTATGTTAGGCTCTGTTGACTTGGTTGGTCTCTGTTAAGACCTTTTCTATAATATGATAAAACAGCTTACGTTATCAAGCTTAGTTGCAGTCTTGCAGATAAAGTTTGATATACGATTTAGTGATTAAAAAAGGCTAATATTACCGAGTTTATTTTCAGATAAGATGGGTATATATCTCAGCACTCCCAAGACCGATAAGTTCTCTGAAGATGGGGGAAACAACAGGCTCAGATATGGTTTATCATCCATGCAAGGATGGCGTGCAACCATGGAAGATGCTGTGAGTGAAATTTCTAAATATCTTGAACATTGACTTCCTCTTACCTCTTAATCAAGAATAATTGGTGGCTAATTATCCCGGCTTAGAAAGTTTTATCCTTATGTCTTAGTAATGAAATTACTGTAACGTAACCCATTAAAAGGCTTTTCCCCATTCACAACTAATCAGAGAGTTCATTGAAATCCTTGTTCTTCTGATTTTGAACGGAGTCCCCCTGTAACCTGATGGAAATAACAGTAGACCTCTGTTTAGTAAGGAGATCTCTTATTGGGGTTGGGAGGGGGATTATGGGAATATGTTAGATGTTATGATAAATTAAGCCAAATTGATATTTTACTGCGAAGTACAGCGCAGCAGTTTCACAAAGTCTTAGCCTTTAATCAACCGAAATTTTTTGGTTCCCTACCACTCATTTTCTTTTCCTTCTCACTACGTGTCAGTCCTTTTAACAAGCATTCAGAAACTTTGAGGTCTGTGCTTTTCTTATTATTTTGTTTGAGATTATACTGCAGATGGTATCTTAGTTATTTTCCTTTTGACTTCAGGAACTTATGTAGATCACATGCATTCTTATATAATTGGATTTCTTTATTTTCTTCGTTTCTGATTAATTATCTTTCCGATGTTTTACTAGCATGCCGCATATCCTGATCTGGATGCCTGCACTTCATTCTTTGGTGTCTATGATGGCCATGGAGGTAAGAATTGAATGGTTCAGGTATTTGCATGCACTTTTCTTTTCCTTAGTTGTTAACTTGGTTTTATCTTGTCTATACCATTTGAACTTAAAATGTTTAAGTGCCTACTTTCTCATAATCAATGTACTCTGCCATAAGGTTTAACTCAGAACCGCTTATTGTTGATCCCAACCAAAACGAGTTAGACAAGCCCATGGGCACTTAATACTTTTGAAAAGATTGGAGAAGCTAAAATATTTTGTTCTATCAGAAACTAACTTGTTTTTCTGTTGCGTGTCTATGATGGGAATTGCATTTTTTTCAAATCTCAGTTAAATCTCTAGATACTTCTTGACAATGAGTTTTTACCTTTCTTTTCCATAAAATTCTGAATGTTTTCATGAAGTTACTGGAAAAGGAGCCATGGTTTTTGTGGACAGATGCACGTCAAAATTCACAATTGTGATCACCAGGCTTGGTGCATAAAACTGTTCTAGGGATTGTAATCACCCCTGCATTTCATTATACTTGAAAGCTACTAAATGGCTCCTTGATTTTCTGACACAGATTCAAAAGATTTTATATTCATGTCAGACTCGTAATCACATATTACATGCTTTCTTCTGCTACCCTAAGTTCACGTGATTGCAGGTAAGGTGGTTGCAAAGTTCTGTGCCAAGTTTCTTCACCAGCAGGTTCTTAAGCATGAAGCCTATGCAGCTGGAGATATAGGAACCTCTGTTCAGAAAGCATTTTTCAGGTTTACTAATTAATTCAAACTTATCCCCATTTCCACTTCTTTTATATCATGGATTATGCATGGGTAATCTGCACTGATCCTGCATATAACCATTACCTATTGATTTTGTCATTTTCCCGTTTCCTATTTCATAACTGGAGTTATCTTGCTTCTGTAGAATGGATGAGATGATGCGGGGACAGAGAGGATGGAGAGAGTTAGCTGTCTTAGGTGATAAAATAAATAAGTTCTCTAGCATGATAGAAGGGTTGATTTGGTCGCCAAGGAGCAGTGATGGTAATGACCAACCTGATGATTGGGCCTTTGAGGAGGTATTTGTGCAAACAAGAGGAATATAGTTAAGTAATTGCCTATAGAGGTTAACTGCTATATCAACGTTTTCTTTCTTGGTCTGAAATTTTTGCTGCACTAAAGTTAAGTTGCTTACTTTTCTCAAAAGAGAAAAAAGTGGGGTTGCTTAGACTGGGAAAATTAATTGTTGACAGGAAGCTCAAAGGATATCCTCTAGTCATTTACTTGATTTCCTGTTTGTGTTCAAACTGGAATCAAAGGGTATGCTTTGGAAATTTTCAAAAATTAACGGGATTTATTTGCAAATATAGACTTAGTTTCATCTACAATATGATGAAAATTTTAGATGAAATTTTTTAGTGAAATAATAAAATTGACTCTTATGGTATTATGATGGAATTTGGAACACATGATCCAATTCCACATAGAATTGCATGTGAGATCAATCTTTTTGTAATCTTAATACAATTCACTTTGGATTTGTTTCAAAGATAGCCTAAAATGGTTCATGGAAAAGTAATGAGGTGTAAGGATGTTATTGTGTTTCATTATTTCCTCTGCTTACACAAATTTTTTCTTCTTCTTCTTTGATACTACTACCATCAATTATTTTGATGTTCTGCACTTGGAAGCCTTTACAACTCGAAAAAGTTATCCAAGTCTGCTGTGGTTGAGTACAAACTTAATATCTTTCTTTTTGAATTTGGATTCAGGGCCCTCACTCTGATTTTTCTGGACCAACTTCTGGGAGCACAGCCTGTGTTGCAGTCATTAGAAACAACCAACTTATTGTTGCGAATGCTGGTGACTCTCGCTGTGTGATATCTAGGAAGGGTCAGGTAATGTTCTTAATGGGAATTATTGTGTTTTCAGGACCTTCCACAGAAAGTGCCTTTGTTTTTATTGAGCGGCATAAGTATTGGTACTTATTTTCTGAATGAGAATTGTTTTCTTGGTTTCTTGGATGGCATAGTTGATGCATGTGTACAATCTTTTAATGCAGGCGTACAATCTTTCTAGGGATCACAAACCTGATCTTGAGGCTGAGAAAGAGAGAATTCTAAAAGCTGGTGGTTTCATTCATGCAGGACGAGTCAATGGCAGCCTGAATCTAGCAAGAGCTATAGGTACTTTTTCATGCCTTGTTCGTTTAATATACCAGTTAATTGTGTTGCAAGCTTTAGATCCCAGTTCTTTGCCTGCTCGTTGAATTTGATCAGGGGCCATAGCCTGCACTTATACATGATTGCTTTACTTCCCGAGTAAAAATGTAATTTGATTTCACCCATAATCTGCACAAAATGCATGGAGTGTTGCGAGTTTCCACAGCCAAGTGACAAGTACTCTATCAAATAATGTTTTTTGTCTGATGCAGGTGACATGGAATTCAAGCAGAACAAGTTTTTGCCGCCTGAAAAACAGATTGTAACTGCAAATCCAGATATTAACACTGTAAGGGTCAACTGCAATTTCAAAATACTGTTATCTTGCCCCTATACCTATAGCTTATTTTTTCTAAGCTATTGGCTTTGAGTTGTAGATTTTTAAGGCCTCAAACTTGTCAAATTGGTTTTCAAATTGAATTTATTTGCTTTCCTCATCTTAGTTTTCATTGTTTTCTGAATCAGGTTGAGCTCTGTGATGATGATGAATTTATTGTTCTAGCTTGCGATGGTATTTGGTATGCGTCTAATGCCTTTTCCCTCATTACTCTGCACATGTCATGTTAATTAAGCTTTATTTTCCAAGTTGATTAAGTTGGTTGTGCACTTTAGAGCAATTGTAATGTCATTACCATTTTCAGGAAAATGAGGATGATTAGCTGTTTTGTTAATAATTTTCAGGGATTGCATGTCAAGCCAACAACTCGTGGATTTTGTTAATGAACAACTGCAATCAGTATGTGCATGAGCTCTTCCCCTAGAAAAAGTTGTTGATTTGTTTCCTTTTATTTGCCAGCTTGTTTATTATGTTAACCTGATGCATTTGCCTTGCCCTCTTGTGCTGTTGCAACAATATCAGGAAAGCAAGCTTTCTGCTGTGTGTGAGAGAGTCCTTGACAGGTGTTTGGCACCTTCTACAGCTGGGGGTGAAGGCTGCGACAACATGACTATGATCTTGGTGCAGTTCAAGAAACCAATCTCTCCTGATGAACTATCCTCGCAGCCGCAATCTACCGAAACTGAAGCAAAGCCAGAGGGAATATAAACAAACTAGCACTTTGTGTGGTTGGAAAGAAGAATTTAGGACATATTTGTTCTATTTGTAGATGGTTTTGCACGCAAAAGAATGATTTACATATCAAAATATTACGAACTTCAATAATAACATGTACAGATTTCTTTTTGACTTGAAAGAGCTACTAGCAGCTCGCAGCAGTATCTAGCAGCTAAGCGTATTCCCAAGTGCTGTTAGTTTTTCAAATTTAAATCTTTTGAATCCTTACACCTGGACTTTGGTCTTTAATGGTGGGAAGGTAATTTTTTTTTTTTTTGGAAGCATTTTTAGTTTATACTTATACTTCATGGTAAATTCAACAATTTAAATTTCAAATTCTAACGTGCTGATATTTGTAAATTCTTGGAGTATCCTTCCCAAGTTATTTTCTATTTCATAATTTTTGGTATCATAATTTTTAATAATAACAATAATAATAGAATGGAAATGAAGATTGCTTAAAAATTCTATTCTACTTTCATATATATTGAACCATAAAAAATTCCTTTCCCCGGTTTACACAACAAATTTCTTTTGAAAAAAAAAAATCCACCATCATTCTTGTATAAAAATCTGTACCAACCCCTGAAAAAATCACCCCTCCTTGCAAACCATAACTGTGAAATTTTAGATTTCCATAGCCATCTGATCTTGCCATGAAATCTTCTTAGTTGCTACCTTTTTACCATTGAGCAAGCCATTAGTTTGCTTTCTCCTTTTTGCTGGCTCCCTAATGACCTTACCTCTTCTTCCGGAGTCCTCTTCTTTTCCTCCCTGCTATATATCAGAATAATTTGTCAATTGAAATTCAAAAAGGTGTAAACTATCAAAAGCCAATAGTTAAAAAATGATCTATGAATCTTAAACAACTTAATTCAATTACCAAAGGTGGGTTTATATCCGGATGGGATTTCTTCAAAACCTCACTAACAACATTACTCCTAACTGGTGCACATCTGCTCGACACATAAGAATTTTGCAGCTCAATGTGATCTTGCTCTGCTTCAAGCTTTCTCTGGGACTTAGTTCTCATTAAATATTTATATCTTCTTCTCAAAAACCTGGAATTAAGCCCAAAAAGTCAAGTACTAGTTTTAACTTTAGGCATGATGAATAGTTAAGCCAACAAATACAGAGTAAAGAAAAAGAAGATAACATACTGGACTTCAGCCAATAGAATATGTTTCTTCTGTTGCATTCTCTGCAGTTTCTTCTTCTTGGAAATGAATTCCTATTAAGATTAGCATAAATCATCAACATAAAACTCTAGAAATACATGGACTAGTGTCGTCTCAATAGAAAGCAAAACCATTCAAAGTCTTTAAAATTTCATGGAAACTAGAATATTATGTAAATTCAAATTCTTTGCAACTCCCAGTCCAAACAGGATGTGGAGGAACCTTATGAGTAGTTTTGTAATTGCAATCTCGAGAAAGCTAGAATATTCATGTAAGTTCTTTACAAAACTAGAATATAAGCCAAGCCAAACTGAACATAAAGAGAGCAGTTTTATGCAATTGAATCTCGAGGAAAAGTAGAATTAGAATATCTATGTACTTTCGTCACCAATCTAGAATATAATCCAAACCAAACCGAACATAAAGAACAGTCTGGTAGTTGAAATCTCAAGGAAACTGGAATATCTATGTAAATTCTTTGGAAAACTAGAGTATAGTTCAAACGCAACCAAATTAAAAAACTTTACCGAAAATTAAAAAACTTTACCGAGCAGTTAAGTAATTGAAAT